AGTAAGCGACAAAGTGAGCTGGCATCCTGGCCAAGGTCAAGCGGTGATCATGTCATTCTGCTGTCAACCCCAAATCTGCTGCCCAAATCCCCAGAGCCGGCCTGTACAATGGAGGGGAGCCAGTTTCCATCCTGCAGAACAGGGACTTCTGTCCGCTTTACTGTCCCCACCCCTCAGAGGGAGCTCATCCCCGAGCAAAGGGCCTGCTGGTTCTGCCGGTGGCCTTGGGAAGGTACATTCTCAGCTCCCACCCGGCTCCTTCTAAGACTTGAAGCTCAAGGAGCATGAGAAAGTGCCCAGATCCCCAACAGGTCCCAACCTGCCCCCTCCCTCCCTGAAACCCTGGGCTCCATCTGCAGAAACGGGGAAAGCCAGGTCCCTCTGTGCCTGGGCACAGCTCGAAACTGGTTGTCGGCGGGTGGGAGTTGCCCACAGGATGCCACTTCGCAGCCCAGAAGGACGTCCATATGCTGGGCAGACGTGAACATCTCTGCAGATTCTCAATATGCTGCTCACATCCTAGTTTGTGGGCCGAGTGACAACTGGGAAAGTGACCAAGATCCCGGTGGAAAATCGAAACAGTTGACAACCACACTCCCCCACCTCTCACACCTTCCCACTCCCACTTCCCCAGGCCTGGCGTGTTACCACCACCAACCACTCTGGAGTGGGAGCTGAAGGACTTCCAGGCTAGGGAGAGTCGTTACAAATGGAGGGTGGTCGTTCCTCTAAATCTAGGCACCTCTCCCACAGAAAGAGTCCCCAGGGTGGGAGGAGGCACACGTGTTGCTGTGTGGTTTGTAACAGCAGAAAAATGGAAAAAATAAAAAAAGCAAACGTCCATCAATAAGGCACTAGAAAATTAAATTATATTATATCCCTGCAAAGATGATATTACATCCATGAAAAGGGACATCCCACAGCATGAAAAAAATCAAAGGTGGCCAGGTGCGGTGGCTCACGCCTGTAATCCCAGTATTTTGGGAGGCTAAGGTGGGTGGATCACCTGAGGTCAGGAGTTCAAGACCTGCCTGGCCGACATGGTGAAACTCCATCTCTACTAAAAATACAAAAAATTAGCCAAGCATGGCAGCACCTGCCTGTAGTCTCAGCTACTTGGAAGGGTGAGGCAGGAGAATCACTTGAACCTGGGAGGCACAGGTTGCAGTGAGCTGAGATCGCGCCACTGCACTCCAGCCTAGATGACAAGAGTGAAACTCCATCTCAAAAAAAAAAAAAAGAAAAGAAAAAGAAATGTAGCCAGATGCGGTGGCACACACCTGCAGTCCCAGCTACCCAAGAGATTGAGGCCAGAAGTTTGAGCCCTTGAGCCCAGAAGTTTGAGACTACAGTGAGCCGTGATCATGCCACTGCACTCCAGCCTAGGTGACAGAACAAGATCCTGTCTCAAAAAATAATAATAGGCTGGGCATGGTGGTTCACACCTGTAATCCCAGTACTTTGGAATGCCGAAGCAGGCGAATCACTTGAGGTCAGGAATTCAAGACCAGCCTGGCCAACACAGCAAAACCCCATCTCTACTCAACATACAAAAAATTAGCCAGGTATGGTGGTGCATGCCTGTAGTCCCAGCTACTCAGGGGGCTGAGGCACGAGAATCACTTGAACCTGGGAGGCAGAGGTTGCAGTGAGCCGAGATCATGCCACTGCACTCCAGCCTGGGCAACAGAGAGAGACTCTGTCTCAAAAATTAATAATAATAATAATAATAATAATAATATAATAACAATTTTGACCCTAAAAACGAATTATGCATTTGGTACATACGATTTAAACTTTATTACATTTGCATACAACTACATAATAGTGGAGCTAAAATGCAATTTACTCGTTGGAATTATGTTATCGATATCCATTAATAACAATTTTGAGATTTTCTTTTTGTATTTCGGAGCCAGCAGATCCATGACCATTTTTGAGGCCCTCTAAAGGCTCACAGGCCCTAGGCATTGTGGCTGGTGGACAGAAAGGCTGGAACGTTGGCTGGCGCGGTGGCTCACGCCTGGAATCCCAGCACTTTGGGAGGCCAAGGCGGGTGGATACGAGGTAGGAAGATCGAGACCATCCTGGCTAACACGGTGAAACCCCATCTCTACTAAAAATACAAAACATTAGCTGGGCGTGGTGGCGGGCGCCTGTAGTCCGAGCTACTCAGGAGGCTGAGGCAGGAGAATGGCACGAACCCGGGTAGCGGAGCTTGCAGTGAGCCAAGATAGCGTCACTGCACTCCAGCCTGGGCAACAGAGCGAGACTCTGTCTCAAAAAAAAAAAAAAAAAGAAAGACTGGAATATCCAGAGGTTGCCAGACTCCTCCTCCTAGGAGGTCCCTGGGTCAATCAATGCAGGGCTCAGCCCCAGGAGCTGCCAAGGCCGAAGAGAATGAACCAAACCCCTAAGGAAAAACCTGCTCTGCTCAAGAGTTCTTTCCTGAGTACTAGAAGAGCCGGATGCTCAGGGTGAAGGGAGGAGGCTGACCTCCACAGCTTACCCCAGGAACTGACCCAAGCCCATGGCCCGACGGGTCCTCCCCCAGCAGCCCAGCCAGATGGATAGGCTCAGAACAGCCTGCCCAGGCCGCCAACCTGTTTTCTGGGCCACGCTGGGACTTGCAGCCAGCCAGCTGCCAGCACACCGCACCCCAGCTTCCTGCTCATTACAATACACCGAGCACTGAACCCGGGGGCGAGCACCTAGCCTCAGCCAATGCCTTCTAGCAGTATGGGCTGGGGCTGCTGCTGGCCCAACCCCCCCCAGCGGCCATTGCCACCAGACCTCTAGATGGGGACAGGGGCAGGGCTCCCCGAGGAGCACTGAACGTGGCTGAACAACCTGGACCCCACACGTGCACCCAAGATACCACATACATGGAGGAGGGGCCAGCAGATCCAGGGCCTTGTAGTCCAAACACCCAGGAGAGGCTTCCAGGCCCCTTAGCACCCTCCCGCCCTCTGGCTCTGCAGAGTCTCTTTCCCCTGCTCCACTCTCAAAGGCCAGAGCCAGGCCCAGGCTGCTCACATCATCCCAGCTGGAGCCTGGGCAAGGGGTGAGCTCAGAGCAGGCTCCCCAGTCACTGCCCCAGCTGGAAGGTTCAGCCACCCAAGGACCAGGGCTCCCCCGGAGCTAGGCACAGCCAACACAGGGTTTGGGTTGCAAGATTTGGCAGGAGCTGTTCCGATTCACTGCCATCCTCATGGTGCTAATAGCCACATGCCTTGTCTTCCCTCGGAACAGTTTGTCTTTGCACAGTGACCAGGTAGGTAACTGACCACATGTGGCCAGAAACAGCAGGTCCCAGCCCTCTCCACACGCAAAGTCAGGCTTGAGGGTTCTGGCCTGGAACTCACAGTGTATAGAGTTTAAGGATTTGAGGAGCAGGTGTTACAGTTTAAGAAGTTCTGAGTTCTGGCCAGGTGTGGTGGCTCACGCCTATAATCCCAGCACTTGGGGAGGCCAAGGCGGGAGGATCACCTGAGGTCAGAAGTTTGAGACTAGCCTGGCCAACATGGTGAAACCCCATCTCTATTAATAGCACAAAAATTAACCGAGCATGATGGCGCATGCCTGTAATCCCAGCTATTTGGGAGGCTGAGGCAGGAGAATTGTCTGGACCCGGGAGGCAGAGGTTGCCGTGAGCCGCCAAGATCGTGCCATTGCACTCCAGCCTGGGCAACAAGAGCGAAACTCCGTCTCCAGAAAAAAAACCAAACAAACAAACAAAAAACAAACTCTGAGTTCCAAGCCTTGACTAACACACTTTTTGCCTCACTATCTCAAGTAGAGGGTCAGAGAAGCAGGGGCTTTGCAGGCTCCTGAGGCAGGGGAGAGACACCCACCACCACCAAGCAGGGCTCTCCCAAGGGCCAGATGGCAGAGCCTATCTGGGACACTTGGTGGTGGCAGTCAAGGCACCTTCCAGAATCAGAGCAAACCACCAGCCCCGCACCTGAAAGGCCAGCTCCCCTGGTACCCCCAGACTCCCACTGTACTTGTGCACTCACCTGTCCCATGCAAGTCGGACCATGGCCGGGTCCCCTCCTGAGCCTGGGGCCCCCTTCCTGTGGCTTCCTCCTCCTGGCACATCCGCCACTTCACCCCAACCACCGGCATCACCCATCCACCAGAGGCCAGCTCAAATGCCAGCCATCCACGCACCTTCTCTCCTCTGCCCAGCTACCTTTCTTGGGGCAGCCGCTTTCTTTTTGTTTGCTTGATTTTTTGTTTTTTTGTTTTTTTGAGATAGAGTTTCGCTCTTGTTGCCCAGGCTGGAGTGCAGTGGTGCAATCTCGGCTCACTGCAACCTCCGCCTCCCAGGTTCACGTGATTCTCCTGCCTCAGCTTCCCGAGTAGCTGGGATTATAGGCACGTGCCACCCCAGGCCCAGCTAATTTTGTATTTTTAGTAGCGACGGGGTTTCTCCATGTTGGTCAGGCTGGTCTCCAACTCCCAACCTTAAGTGATCCGCCCACCTTGGCCTCCCAAAGTGCTGGGATTACAGGCATGAGCCCCCGTGCCCGGCCTGGGGGCAGCCCCCTCTCAACTCCCACAGAGCATTCCCACCAGTTACACCCATCTCTGTCTCTCCTCCTAGCTGTGAAGTTCCTCAAAGACCCAGGAGCCAGCTATCCTGTCCCCAGGACCTTGCACCATGAAGGTGGAAAGTAGAGAGCAGAGTCTGAGGTTATGGGTGATATGACTCCTGCCTAAGACCCCTGTGGCCATCACTGCTGCCCCGGCCAGACCAGCCACTGCCCACAGAGGGATCCACTAGTGGCGGCATTGGATGGGCTTTAGGTGTACCCATGGTCCAGCTCACCTTCCTTGCCCATTTCAGCTCCATCAGCCACACACACCTTTTATTTATTTATTTATTTTTGAGATGGAAATTATTTATTTTCTCTCTTGTCATCCAGGCTGGAGTACAATGGCACAATCTTGGCTCACTACAACCTCTGCCTCCCTGGCTCAAGCAATTCTCCTGCCTCAGCCTCCTGAATAGCTGGGATTACAAGTGTCTGCCACCACACCCGGCTAATTTTTGTATTTTTAGTAGAGAGGGGTTTTCGCCATGTTGGCCAGGCTGGTCTCGAACTCCCAGCCTCAGGTGATCTGTCCTCCTTGGCCTCCCAAAGTGCTGGGATTGCAGGCAGGCTACACCGTTCAACAGTCCCCAAGAGGGGAGGGATGCAGACCCTGAAGTCCTCAAGATAGGCTAGATTCAAGAGCCCAGATGATAGGACACAGAAGAAAACCTGAAAGAAAGAAAGCACTTCTGAGATACTTTGTGCAAATACAAGCAAATGCATATGTGAATTCTCTCTTTTTTTTTTTTTTTGAGATGGAGTCTTGCTCTG